GAGAGAGAGAGAGAGAGAGAGAAGAAGAGAGAGAGAGAGAGAGAGAGAGAGAGGAGAGAGAGAGGTAGAGGTAGAGGCTGGTTTCTTAACGATCCAGTCGGAATTTCTTCGTTCCAAGTCAATATAAAACGAGGCGCTCGATGTTTCGAGCTGTTGGCCAAAGTAGTCCGGCCAAACGAGGCCTCCAAAAGGAATCTTTGGCCGTTATGACCCGTGTTATTCAAGCATTCAACCATGTTACTCCATGCGTTATTACAGAGGAGAAAATCAAACGTTCCCTTGAGATTTGAAAAGAGAAAATACCGAAATTCTCGGAAATATCACAACCAGAAAAAAAAATAATAATAAAATAAATTTATAATATATTCGAGATTATTAATTTGTCGTAGCTCGAAGAGAAGAAAATTAAAATACTCGACTTCAATCGATAATTTATTTATCCTCAAAATTTATATATACCAAATAAATAAAATTTATGGTAACAAGAATGGTAACGAATAAATTCTGACAAATTATTTAAGAACCGCGCGATCGACAATTTATTAAATATTCATATTTTAATTTTAATAAAATCTTATAAACAACAAGTATAATAATTACTTCGAAGAAGGGAACAAATCCCGGAAGTTCATTGCTTCGAATGCTTTTGCAGCATCCTGTAAATGCGCGCGTGGCCGTGTTTATAAACGAAGATGTTCGTATAACGCGGTATGCAGGGCTTGCTTTTATTTACTCTCTCTTGTTCTGACCAGTCTGACGAGTGTCGTTCACATTCTCCTTTTTCCACCCGGTAAATTACGGTTTCGATGATTTGCCCGCTGGACTTGCAAACGCGGACGTGGAAAAATATACGAGATGAAATCGCGAAATTATTGTTATCCGTGGAAAAACGAGAGAAGAAATTGTTCGAAGGAAAAATATTATTCGATTTCAACTCGACTCGCGAAAGTAAGGAGTACTCACCGATCTCTCATCGATCCTTTTGAATTTAAATTCGAACACGATAATATAAATCTCGTATAAAACTTGTCGCGAACTTGACGGCAGAAGCGCGAATCTTTCTGTTTATAATCGTTATATATAACAGTTTTATACGTGTGTTTATATAATACACAAACCGTCTCTCCGCAGAGGACGGTTCTTACGCTCCGTTTAAGACACGAAAACATTCGCGTATCGATCGCGTCATTTGCGACGCGAGCGGCGAGAGGTAAGCATCGTGGAATGTTTCGTTTCCTCGATTGTTTCGAATTTTGCGTAGTAAGAGAATTGTGCGTAATTATATCTTCTCAATTTATATATTGGAGGTAAATATATATAAAATTCCTTTAACTTTTCGATAAAAATCTATAATTTATTTATTATCAGGTTTCTCAACATCTTTCGAGGTGGAACGAGATTAAAGCCGTTAACTTAAGAAAGACATTGTAGAAGACGAATATCGAAATGGAATCGAAATGGTGCAGCAGAATTTATAATCGAATAAATATTTGACACAAAATTTCCTCGAACCTCCCCGTTTCCTCCTCTCTCATCCACCGGGGAGGAATAAAACTAGAGCTTTCTTAAAAGTGAGCCAATCGATCGATTAATTCTCTCGCGTTTCATCTCGTCGCGAGAATCAATGGATGGAGAAAAGAGAAACGATACTCGAGATAACGAGAATCTCTGGTAGAACAACTCAATTTCCCCGAGCAAACGAAAGAGCGAGCTGTGGGCCAATTTAACTACGTTTCCCATGCGTTGCATCAACATTCCTGGATTACATACCCATTTCGTAACAATATCAACGGTGCCATTTAATCAAACGGGGCAGAAAGTTTCGAATATCCACCATCTTATCGGTTGCAGACGCGACTCTCGTTTCTCGTTTATAATAAATTCATTTTTGCAGATCGATATCGCCACCTGTGTGTCTGTGTGTGTGTGTGTGTGTGTGTGTGTGTGTGTGTGTGTGTACGTGTACACACTTTGACTCGCGCTCATTGTTCACCTGGCTGTGACCCAGTTGAAGAAGTAATTCTTAACGAATGTGAACCGGCGAGCGACAATGGATTCCCCGATACCGCGTGAGAAGAAGGAAGGAGGGAGGCGAGAATAGGAGTCGATTCGAAACCGATATATATACGGAAATAAACGAGCCGTGAACCCTCGACATTTTTCAATTATTCAGACTGGAAGTTTTTTTCGTACGGTTAATTATTACGGTTAATGGAGA